TTAATAAATACGACGATAGCATCACGGATGCAGAACCCCCAGCCTGCCAGCTGGATTCAACCTGCCTGGAGACCAGCGAAGGCCTCCTTTAAGTACAGATCATATGATAGCTTTATGGATTTTGCCCATTTCATCCCATTCCAGGGTTGGGCTGCCTCTCCTAAGGGTTCCTGACTGGCAGCCCCAGCTTTAAACTCAAATAGGCTGCTTTGGGAGGGGGGATTCGGAACCCTCTGTCATCAGCCCCATCTATCCTTGGCATGCACCCCCTGGAAGCATCTCCAAGGTGAAATTTGGCCCTCGGACCAAAAGAGGCCAGGCACTGCTATGACTGGAAATACGTCCTTCCAGTCCCTGGCTACTTTTGCCTGGCAAATGCAGCTCTTCTTTCGTCCTCCATGGGAAAAACCAAGCATGTTGTCACCCAGATTGAAAGTTAGGTTTTGAAGGGGCTGAGGGGCAAAGAGGTTGACCCTTTCCCAGCCTGAGGGTGGAAATCTACCTTGGCTAAGCCCTCGGGGGCATATCGGGTGGGTGGGGAGAGGCAGAAGGGCCAGGCCAGACATGCCGGTCAAGCCAGCCTCTTTTCCCTTCACAAAGGGCACCATCCTTTGGCCTCCCCGCATCAGCTGTGGGCTGTCGGAGCATTCAGGCTGCCCTCGCTTGCGCGCACAGACACACCAGGCACAGAACGAACCAGGCCAGCAGCCTCCCCGAGATTGCAAATTGGAGAGGAGGAAGAGGGGGTGGCAGGGCAGCCAGGGGAGGGGACCGAAGGCTCCCCAGCCACGTTCCCTCGCCTTCCGAGGCATGTCCTGCGTGGCAGCTGCCGCTCTGTGCTGCCCAGGCGCCTCCAACTTATGGCACCCCTGCTAATGAATGGCCTTCCCGATGCCACATCATCTCAGCAGCCCTGCATGCCCACCCAGGGAAGACGTGTCGCGAGAGGTGCTGCAGCGGTGCAGGTGGCTCCGTGCACCTCTCTGGGCTTGGAGGCGCTGAGGGTGGGGCGCCTCGCGTTCGCCTTTGCAGAGGCTCAGTTCATGTTCAGAACTGGGCGAGTGGCCGGGATGAGCCGACAAATGGGAAGCTGCCGAGCGATGCGTCGCTGAGGAAAGGAGCGTGGCCTTCTGGAAGGCCAGACTTTGACGATCCTCTGCTCTGCTGTGAGCTGGGTTTGGCCCTGGTCTCGCAGCTCTGCACTGCTGCTGTATCCACAGATTACGGTCAGCAAAAGACGGGTGGAGCTGTAAAGAGCTGGATCCAACGAATAGACTTGATCAGCGTGCGCCTCTTGCCTCCTAAAGATTTTAACATTATTTTCAAGCTTTTAGCACAAAAAGAAAAAAAAAATCCATACCACCTGTCTGTTTCCACTGGTGAAGGCAATTCATTTAATCCTGGTAGCAACTAAAACAACATGGCTGGGCTTTCTTACTTTTATGTTTAGGAAAGTATATGCTTAAAAAAATGAAACACATCTGATGTGTAAGCAGAATCAAAGTGCTGAGCGCATGCACTGCCCTCTGATTGCGGGCCAGGACAAAACGTTGCCAAGGTCCAGCTGAGCAAGTCTGGTCTTCAGCCCTGGCACCAACAGGAGCTGTTTTCTGTCCCCAGTCGTGGCAGGGGAGGGAGAGGCGCAGTCCCATTTCAGATTGGACCCCCCTGGGCACACGCTATGGGGAGTTTTAAGATTGTATTCCATATCACCTGTAGTCAGGTCCTAAAACTTATCCTGGTGTAAGTCGTGATGCGGTTTTATTTTACCCCACCCTTTCTTGTGGCACGTCATTTTATCCTCACCAGAATCAGCCTTAGGGCGCTCCAGCTGGCCTGTATGTTCTCTCCTGAGTGGCAGGGGGTGATTCCGATGAGCATGGGGGAAAGGAAGCCATTGTGCCCTTGTTTCTTCCTCCCCTGTGCCAGTTGCAAACTGCCTAATTAGTCTCATGCCTGCTGCTGGTTGCCAGTTGTTCGGACACCTGGACCCTGGAAGGCTGAGTGGCTGGAATGTTTTACAAACTATATCAAAACCCTGGAACAAGCCCTGGATTTCAGGGTAGTATCTAAACCATCCCAGCCATCCAGCTCCACCAGGTTCGGACATCAATACAGGCCTGTCCTTGGTAAGAGTAATTATGCTAATTAGGTGACCTGCAATGGGCCCATGTGGTGAAGAAGAAGAAACTTCTGGAACGTATCCCTCCCTGCCCCTGATTATATCATGTGTGCGGAGGGTCAGTGGCTCTCCAGGAAAGCTTGTGGTCACCTCTTCCCAGGTACCTGTGCTTTTACTCTGTTACCTTCCTGATACTTTAAGTAAAGGATGGGATAGAAAACAGACAGACAGATGGACAGACAGACACCTGCTGCCCGCTCTGTTCAATTGAAACTGCAGGGCACTGAGCCTGAGTGGAAATTTCTGTATGCAGTGGCTTTCCTTCCTAACAAAAAAGGTTTTCTGTAAGGGGACGGGGGGCCTGACTGGCCCAAGGTCAGCTGGGGACGTTTGTGCCCCGGATTGTGGCCTGTTTCCCCTTCTCCAGCAAGAAAACCAATGGAAAGAGTCAATCAAATCCATTCCCTTAAAGTGCCTGTGATTTCAATTGCCAACATCAAAATGTTCCATTGAAACAAATGGGGCTTAAAATGTGCAACTTTGTCAGTTGTTTCTTTGCTGTCTTGCTAGAAAGCGGGAGGTAGGCTGTTCCCATCTGAACAATGGGCCTCTGTTGTGATCGGAAGGTGTCCATCTGTTCTTCATTGCCCCTTTAAAAGTGCTGTATCTGAAGTCCTTGGACTGTAGACTGAACATGGTGAACACGCCCATGCTTCAGTTCCTCTCAAAACCAGCACAGAGTAAGACGGGCAGTAATTTGTTTGGGTTTGCACATAACAGCTCTCGGATGAGGGCTTCTTTGAAGTGCTTCCCACGGAAGATGGTTGCATATGAATAGCAATGGTACAAAATATCAAATTATACACATTTTAGAATGAGTGCATTGGTTTCGGAGACATTTAAAAATGCATACCTAAAAAAAATGTATTTGGTTGCATTCAAAGTGGGTCACTGGTCTAACTTCCTGCAGCTGTGGAACATCTGTAACAAATAAGCAGATACCCTCTTGCTGCATGAAATATATACTTTAAGCATTGAGAACCGAATCTAGCACAGAGGGGGCTGAATTCCTTAAAGCCATACATAGCATGCCACTGGGCGCCTTGCATCGCCTGTGTCCACTGTTTGCGGGTATAAATACCGAGGCAAAGATCCAATGTCCAGGCCTTCACTGGGGTACATCAGAAGGAGGCTCTGCCACCCTCCCAATGGCTTGCCACCCACCAAGGACCTTCGGGAAAATGGGCTTCTTATGGGAGGTGGAGGAATATTTACTTCTCGGTGACTTTGGTGGATGGAGCCTTTGCTTCCTCTGTGCAATCTGATGGAGCCAAAGGTAGTCCCTGGGTTAGGAACAACCCACATTTATGAACGTACAGACCGCCAGATGCCCTGTATGAATATCTCTTGCAAAGAGTCATGAATATCTATAGTAAACTACATGACACATTTGGCAATGTGTCATCAGAGGCCATGTAGTTCCCTAGATATTTTTACAGCTTTTGGCTAGAGATAGTCACAGCTACCTCTTATCTCTAGGGAACTATGTGATGCGTTTGGCTATGCATCTCTCAGTAGCTGCATGGTTCCCTAGAGATAGTCACAGAAACCCTTTTCCTTAGGCCACATGTTTTCACCTTCTCCAACAAGCTCTTCAACACCACAGGCAACACGTTGCCCCCCTTTCACATAAGCCTTGTGCTCCATCAGGTGCTGGAACTGGAAGCACAACAAATCCCCATCCAGCTCTGTCCCCAAACACAGACCCATTGAGATTAATTTGCCATGGATTAAAGTCTTTTGAATGTAATAGGCAGGCTATATTGGGCTATATTGCCCTAGCAGCCCATTATCAGAGAACATTTGAAGATCCAAGTTATTTTCCACTGGGCATACATTAAAATTAAAGACAGACAATGAATCTCAAGCATTAAGTCAAGCATAAGAGGTAAGTTACAACATTTTTTCAAAACTGTATACCTACACACATACATGCATACATACCCCCACCCTCTCTTCAGTACCTCTAGTTACTTTATTATTACTGTACTATTGTCATTCTTACAATGGTGTATTGTGTTTAAGACCTTTTAGTGAATATGGAAGTGCTTCTTCAGTGTCTTATATGCACAGAAAGATAAAATAAATAAATATACCAAGACAAACATTTGGCTTACTCATGTGATCCGACTTACATGCAAATTTGACTCAAGGACAGTCTCAGGAATGGAGCTCATCCGTAACCTGGGGACAGTCAGTATTAAACAAGGAAAGACGGTGTTAATTATAGCTACTTCTGTGTATTGATCTTCCCCACATGGCTGTCATGCCCACACTTGTATAAGGAATCCCGTAGGGAAAATGCAGTGCCCCTAAATTGCGCAGCGTTCGCTTTCTGCTTCTAGAACACAGCAGACAAGCGATGATTGGAGAGCGCTATGAGCCTCTCATGTGGAGGGTGAGAGGGTTGGCTTCCTGTGCAGCTTTCCCACCATCATGCACCTGGAAGCTCTCCGGGATCAAGCTTTGTGTTTGGCTGTAAATTCCATTTACCTTTCCCAACCTGGAGCCCTCCAGATGTTTTGGACTCCCAGTTCTCATCGGCCCCAGCAAGTAAGGCCAACGTTCAAGACTTCTGGGAGCTGAAGTGCAAGTCCTCCAAAGGACACCAGTTTAGGGGAGGCTGGGTTGGCCATCGCACGTCCGAACTCTGCGGGTGCGTGTTATCGTGGGCCAAGGACCAATGTCAGTCTCTTGCACAGGAGCAACTTCACCTAACAGGATGTTGGGCCACACAGGATGCAGTGCCATAAGCTGGGGCTGACTGGCGCTTCCTTTCTCCCACTCAGACTGGTGACCTGCAGTATTCTGTTCCCAGGCTTATCCAGGGGACAACACGACCCGAACGCCAGTGGAAACAGACCTGTACCTGCAGTTGGTGATCTACGACCACGTCCTCAGAAGAAAGCTTTAAGCACCGTTTCTCTCCTGGGGCATATACACCGGCAGGAGTGTTCATGTGTGTGTGGTGCTGGAGTGAGGAGGCTACTCTCCAAGGACCGAATTCATGGAGACCCCTTTGGCTGTTTGCTCATGAGACCCTGTAGCTACGTATACTTACCTATGGCTATTCATTAAAGATCTTTTTCCCATCCCCATATGCATAAGAATGCTTCAAGTCATTTTGCAGACCTGACACACAAGCATCGTTGAAATATGTGTGGACTCCATGAATGCCCTTTTTAAGTACATGATATCATCCAGTTTTAGGCCTTCTAAATGTCATTCAAGGGGAGAGGGAGAAGGGTCACACGCTCCAGCAAACGTGCAAATTAGGACATTTATGCAAATCAGATGGATGGATGGATGCAAGCACGTATTCAACAACCTAAATATATTTTCAGTAAACACGTGCTTACAGTTACTGTTTAATTATAGGTTTTTTGGAAGGTGATAAAGGAAATCCACATATTCTTTCATTCATTTGAACCAATTCTGTTGCTCTTGGTCTCTCTCTCTCTCTCTTGCTCTCTTCCTCCCTCTTCCTCTCCCCCGCCCCTCTAATTCCACCTAAGTCCATCCTAAAGAAATAAAAACCTGAGGTGCAAGACAGCCCATGGAATGTATGCAAAATTATCCAAACTGAAAATGCACATTCACACAAGCAAACAAACCAAAAGATTAAATAGCAGTGAACAGAACAAAAACTTACGAGGATGTGACATTGTTTCTTCAAGGTGTTTGCAATGTTTTCCTATGCAGACTCTATAAATGAGTGTTTTGGATGTTGGTTAAATTACAGCAAGATTAGGAGAACACCACATCTGTGCCTATAAGGGAAAGCAAAAGGAAACTTGGATTAATGTGGGGTTTAAATTATAGTGCACATGTGTTCGTGCCATGATCACAAAAGTACTGATGACTGAGAAATAATCCATGTTTCTGCTTCAAGTGTAGGATGGTTGTCAGAACTGGCATACCAACCTGGCTTCTCAGCACTGAACCCTGCACAGATTGTTTTTCATGGCTTATTCCACCCAGGGAACTCATGGCTTGTTCTGGAGGTTATTTGCCTCACAACAAGTTGTCTCGTCTGAACCTGGCAAGGTGATTTTATTGTGAGTTTCTTGAAAAGACACTGGGGTTGTTCAGTAAAGCTGGTACCTCTGTAATCTCACCAGTGTCTGCCTTTCCACTGGGGCTGAAATGGGACTTCGAGAGGACCTTTGCTTGTTCCTCAGCTCTTCGTCTCAGAAAAATTCAACGGACCTTTCTTTTTACAAATGGCACTGGAAAATGGCATTGCTTTTAAATTCGTTGTTGTTGGTGGTGGTTCTTTCCAGGCACAAACTTCGGGCTGTCCAATATAAGACGAAACTGCATACAGGCCAATCTGTGGAAGGTTGTTCAGGGACCAAATGCCTGGCTGTCGATGGAAAAGCAGTGGGAAAGGGCCGAAAAGCAAAGAAAGAAGGAGCACCCGAATGGCCGGGGGCATTAGCATCCCTTCGGCAGTGAAATCCTATTTATTTTCACTGTTGAACAGTCAGTGCTTAGTTCCCTCCCACTTCCCAGCACTTTCCCAAGTCTGCAGCTAGTCCAGGAAAGGGAGATACTGACTCTCACTCACTTTTCAGAGCAGTTACTGCAAATGCACAAATTTTCCCTCCATTTGTGCGTTCCTTGCCATTATATTTGCATACAATTCAGTGTGCTTTTCAGGACTTCCAGAGAACTGCAGTAACAACGGCAGTAAACACACTGAAACAAAGCCTCAGGAGGTGAGTAGCTAGAGAAGTAGGGAGTGTTGAAATGGTGTAGAATATTGAGAAGTCTCATTTCAAGAATTAAAAGTGAGATTACGTGCTAAGTGGGTGGCATCACCGTCCCTTCCTGCCCGGTGCTTCTTCTTGCCTTGCTCTTTCCCTGTTCACTAGCGCTTTCAGTTGGCAGCTGGGCAAACAAAAGCCAGCAACTGTGCCCAGCCTGCCTGCGTGCACCCTTTGGCAGCTGAAGTGGGCCCAGAATTGGCCAGGGAAGACTGCACACTCTGGAGAGCCATAAGGACGCGTCTGAGATGGACAAGCAGGAAAGTGATATTTTTAGTGCAATTTTCAGGGGCTGAAACATGCTAACAATAATTTTTAAAAATAACCTCAACTGCACAGTTTTGAGGCTCTAAAATAAGACAGTGGTGAGCAAAAGGGGGGGGGTAGTGATCACCTGGATGGGAGGGTCAAGATGAGTCTCCTGCGAAGGGCACTGGGATGGCTGTCCGAGCCACCTGGAGGACTGAGAGGGAAGGAGAGAGGGAGAGAAACCCACAGTGAGCCAAACTATGCTTAGTGAACAGCCAACTTACAGGCAGCTTAGCCTGAGGTGCAGACGCCCCCACCAAGGCAGGTTTGATGCTGTGAGTGGAAGAGGAGAGGTTCTGGTAATGATTGCATTTCATTTGGATAGCTGTCTTACAGCAAGAGAAGGTATTAGGACTGTTTTAAAAGCCCTCAAGAAAGCCAGCCCTTCGTAATGGTGCAAACCCACACAAGTCAGCGGGGAGCGAGAGAGAGGTCCAGGTCGGCGCTGCACTTCTCTTCCATTGCTGAGCATTTAGGCAGCAGATTTAGTTCGGCTCTCTAAATCCAGCCCTCTGGAACAGGAGAGAAGGCTGAGGCACTCCAGGAGGTGTCCAGTCCCAGTGACGCCAGCCTGCTCCCACCCGTCCCCCCACCTTCTTCTCCACCTTACGACCCCCGAGAGGCAGCTGGCATGGTTCTGTCTGTGGCAACAGTGAGGGAGGAAGGCACATGAGCTTGGATCCCCAAATTTGAGGTCAGAGCAACATTCGGCCCTCATCTCCAAAGATCCCCAAACCCGCACAGCTGTCTAGATAGCAGCCACAGAATCACAGTGTAGCGAAAGCAAAATACCTCTACTGAGTCCTTCGCAATAGATCCGTCTGTACTTAGCTCTCGGGTTAGCTTTCCTTGCAGGGATGTTGAGAGGATAAAATGACGAGGAGCGAATCATGCTGATCCTGAACGGGAAGCCCACTCCCTCCAGGTTCAAGAGGTTGCAGTCACCCCCTCCCCAATTGAACCCTTATTAGATAAAAAGTACTGCCCATTTTGAGAAAGAACCAGGGACAGATGGAAATTTGATCTGTTTGTGTTTTTCCATACAAACTTAGTAACATTTTAAGATGTCTTCATGAACAGGACCGAAAGCTTGGAAAGGTGAATACACACACACAAATAAAACCTTGAAATAGAGTCATTTCTCCAAACCCAGGGCTTTGAATTCTGGTGTAGGGCTTGTGGTGTGAGCCCATGAGATCTCCCATGTCTGTTTTTATCCTGACAGGTTCATTTTTAACAGGAGGAAGGCAGGAATGTGGTCCTACCCATGCTGGTATTAGCTGAATCTAGTGAACTTGGCTGGTATGGATCCCTAGGAATGGATTTTTATAGGAATATATCAAAATTCAGAAATGTTTTCATGTACTGAATGGAAAGAACTTGGGAATTCTTTTAAAAATGAATGTAGGATCCTTCCCTTTAACATTTTAATCTTTCTTACCCTCTAGGGCTGTGTCTCCCTGACAAATTCCACATGATCGTCAGATTTTTTAAAAGGACAGAAGCTGAAGATTTCAGGGCATGCCCCTTTTAGTGAAATTCCAGCCGCTGCTGACTTGTTCCTGCTCCATGGACTGGGGAGGGACGTGTGGGGCACGTGACAAGGGAATGCAGCCCAGCCTCGAAGGCTTTGCCAGAAGAATGAGGAAGCACTCGGTTATATTGTATTTCCTTATCATATTTACTGAAACTAATCCATTGCCGCAATGATAAAGATAACCTGACTTGTGTATCCAGAACAGGTGCTTTTATCAGCAGTGGTGGAGTGCCAAGGACATGGCATTAGGCAGGAGTGGGGGACAAATTCAGGGTGGATGCCGAACGACCACCCTCAACTCCAGCCCTCGGTGGGCCAGACGAAATGGGGTGGGGGGACCGTCACCCAGTCCCAGCCTTGCTGCGCACCCGATTTCCCTGGGTGGGGGGAGCTCATGCACTGTAAGAACGGCTGGAGGAGGTGGCTGTCTAGAGGACTGCTCCATCACCCCTTGGTTGGGGCCACTCCACCACATCCCCCTTGATGGCGGAAGACGGTGCAGGCAAAGCTTTGGTGGCCTGGGGTGGGAGGCAGCCTGAACATCCCAGCCACTGGCTGGACCAGGGACACTTCACCCACCCCTGCTGCATCCACCCCAACATGGTGGCGTGTCAATCATAATCTTTCTTAATGGCCCCTCTCTTTCAGGCGGGGGAGACGATGTGTTTCAGAGCAGGGCGGTCCAATTGAGCTCTGCACGAGGACCTCAACATGGAACCCGGAGGCTACACCTTTCCATATTGTAAAGTATCCACAATACGTTTATTTAATTTAATAGACACATTGAATTATCCATTAAACGAGGGAGAAAACTGATATGAGGTCTCAGAGTTGACTTTTCGCTGCACAGATCACAGGCAGCGCCTTCTCCGACCACAGCACAAACACACTTACCGCTCCTCTGGGGTGGCCTGCCCTTTTCTTCCCTGTTGCTCCCACCCAGAAACCCTCCCATGTGACCCCCAAGCCCCACCTTCCTTCTTGGAGTTGGCGCACTGAGCATCTCGTACTTTAGCCGACAGACACTTCCCAGCATGCCCTGCTCGCTCATGCTGATGAGCGCGAAGGCGCTCCGCTCCAGCTGTGCGCTCATCAGCCAGAGGGGCTCAGGGCATGCTGGGGTGAGCTTTCGCAAGGCCGCCAGCCCAACCTGCTCTCTTCCTGAGCCTCAGCGACACACAGCAATGTACCCAAGAAGACTCATGGGTGTAATCGCTGCCAAAGATGCCAGTTTGCTTTTGTTCACTTAACTGTTGTGCGATAAGAAAAATATTTTGGGTGCCCTTCAAGTGGCGGCCATGCCAACGAAACCCATTTTAATTCCGAGTTGCAACACAACAAACAAAATGTGGACAAGTCAAAGTGGGGTGAATACTGTAAACACCTTTTCAGGCTGAAATTCTAGGCTGCTGTCCGTCCAGGTTCTGAGTGGCATTAATTGCTCCCA